GAAGGAAGGAAGGAAGGAAGGAAGGAAGGAAGGAAGGAAGGAAGGAAATAAAGAGTTGCTGTCACATTAATGTTCATTTGCCTTAGAAGGAATACCACTGCTTGTCTTGAAGAGCTCTTACAAAGGTGCTTCCCCAATAGCTAAAACCCAAGAAATCCAAATATATTCCCAGGGTGGCTAGAAATAGATCAGTGTAAATATTTGCATTCTTGCAATTCACAAAAGAGTGTCAAAAGTAGTATTCTGTCTCCTGGTCAAAACAATAAATAACCTCTCTTTTAAGCAGCAGCCAAGGTTGCTTTGCATGTCTGTGAGTGTGCGTGTGTAAACAAAAGTTCAACAAATGATTCAGTTTTTCCTATCCTACTTTGGAATAAATACAGAAGTGAAGATTCCTACTGTATTCTTGTAAAAAAAAAAAGGAAGCCAAGATAGGGGCTTCCACGGTTTGATTTGTGTCATGGTTGCCATCTTCATTTTTGCTAACCACCTTCACACGTTAACAGAGTTGGAAGGGACCTTGGAGGTCATCTAGTCCAACCCCCCCACCCCCCCATCCAAGCAGGAGGCCCTACACCATTTCTGACAAATGGCAGTCCAATCTCTTCTTGAAAGCCTTGAGTGATGAAGTTCCCACAACTCCTGAACACTGGAAACCAAGTTGCAAAAAATGCCGTACCTGACATATTCCACTGATGCACATATCCAAGGACTTGGCATTACAGCGGGTGCCATCCAGAACTTTGGGAGCAAGCTCAACGATCAAAGGTCTCCCCAAAGCTTGGCACTTCAAGGCACATGGAGAGATGGAGTCATCAAAGACAGGGATCCATTCATAAAAGTGTCCTTGGTACTTGACATCGTTGTAGGCTGAGCATTGCTGGGCACGGAAGTCACCAGAGTCTGCAGGACAGTCCTGGAAAAACAAAAAGTAAGGAGGTATTATTATTATTATTATTATTATTATTATTATTATTATTATTATTATTATTATTATTATTATTTTCTAGTAAAAAATTACTATTTCCTCCACCCCACTCCCATGAAATCCTACTTTCATTTTTAAGGCTACAGCCAATTTCTTGACGACATGTCTCATGTATCTTAATTTGACTTACTTCTAAGTCAACATTAGATGACTGTGGCTGTAAATTAGCACATGTGAGACTAACTGCCTGGCCATTTTTCAAAGCCACAGAAGGAGGCTACAAAAGATTTCTAATTTTACCAGGAACATTTCCCCCTACCTGAACAGACATTTGGATCAGTGTATCCCAGAACTAAGTTCCTGCAAAGCTAAAGGGAGAATAGAGCTCTTTCATACAACTTCCAACTTCAACAATAATTTGCTCCACAATTGTCTTCCTTCCTTATGCAACTAGCCAGCTCTCCCTCAGCTGGACAATGGCCAAAAGCCAAAAACCGCTGACCAGAAGCCAACCTCTTCCTTGCCTTGTGAGTTTTTCACAAGCTCAGAGGCCACTCTGCAGAAGTACAGAAAGCATCTCTCAGAACAGCCAGAAAGCAGTGAGGGAATGGTGGCAAATCATATTGATACTGTTGCTTCATGATAGGAGATCAAATGTTAGGTCAGAGGTCTCCAAACTTGGCAACTTTAAGACCTGTGGACTTTAACTCCCAGAATTCCTCCTCCAGTCATGTTAGCTCAGGAATTCTGGGAATTGAGGTCCACAAGTCTTAAGCTTGCCAAGTTGGAAGACTTTTGTGTTGGGCATGTTGTTCCTGCCCATCAGTGGAACTACTACCCATCCTCAGAGCAATAGGGACACTGAAAGATAGTATTGGAGAGTCTTCTCAAGGGAAGAGCTGGTTAACACTGAGCTGTAGGTTCAGCATGTCAATGTCAACCCGATGGAGACTGCACAAGACATTCTGGTGAGAGAGGTTCCCTGTGGATAAGCTCCAGCATGAGCCTGAAAGCTTGGAAAAGTAAATCTGTTGTGGCCTGTCGGCCCTCGGCCCCTCCAGCAGCAGGGTGGGAGTGAGAGATTCTAGTGTGACCGCACTGAACCTTTTTCTCCCTCCTCCTGTCAAGCCCCAGGGAAATCAGTTCAAATGAGTGTAAAGCTGTATTGTAAGCTTAAGCTCTCTACAAGAATCTGAACTACTAACAGTCAAAGCAAATTGGCAGTAAATAAGAGTCAAAGGAATTCATGGTGAGTTGGATTTAGATCTTTTGTGGGAGCAAAGGGACTCGAGACTGATGACATGTTTGACCTCTCCTTCAGGCTCAGCCTGGTCATCTCCTACATCTCTATTCAGTTGAGGATTGTGCAGTCTCTTGTTTAGGACCCCACTTTGGAATGTGCTACCTTCTTCCTGGAAAGCCCTGATGCTCTTGTCCACTTTCCCACACATACATACTCCTTCCCCAGCTGTTATGTTCATCACGGGCAAGTTTCTACAAGGCATTGTGACAGCGTGAAAGAATAGCAATAGCATTTAGACTTATATACCACTTCATAGTGCTTTTACAGCTCTCTCTAAGCGGCATACACAGTCAGCCTGTTGCCCCCAATAATTTTTGGTCCTCATTTTACCCACCTCGGAAGGACGGAAGGCTGAGTCAACCTTGAGTCTGGTGAGATTTGAGCTGCCAAATTGCAGGCAGCCAGCAAGCAGCAGAAGTAGCCTGTAGCACTGTATTCTAACTACTGCGCCACCATGACTCATGGTACCAATCTCAGATCCATACTAATAACAGGGAATATAAACCAATGAGGATGTATATGGTGCGTCTACATATGGCCATATTTTCTCTAGATAAACAGGGATACATATGTACATGGACATATACACAGAAACAATTAATTGCTCATATCTATAGGCTGCCAAGACCCTAAAATTACACATGGAAGCCAAATCATGCTGGCGATAACACAGCTGGCTTCTTCACAGAGAAAAACATGCAATTTATGTGGAAATGGTCTAAACAAGTCCCCCCGCCCCCCCCGCCTTCATATGAATAGGACCCATAAGGATTATCTTAAACACTTCCATGTGCAAATCACAGCAGCAGAATGTAAAAGAAATGGAAACACAAAACATGGGCGTTTAAGGAGGACTGAAAAATGTCACAATTTACAAGGAACAGCTTGTGTAGATTGTTGTCCTGGGAGACAGATAAAAATATCTTCAGGCAGATAGTAGTTTCTATTTTCAAACTAAGCAGGTGAACAGCACAGGGTAGGTCAATTTTTATTGTGGTCTCAGACCAAAACAAGAAATATATTCATAAGTGATCTGACAGCACCTATAAAACAGTCTAGCTTACAAAACTGGTAAAGCAAAATTAAAATACACTTAAAAATAGATGGATAGGGGCAAGTGAGTGAAATAAAAAGAAGAGCAATCCAAGTCTAGGCTATAAATGAAATAATATGTAAACTTGCATAAAATACCCCTAGGGTAGCAGGAATTTGAGCTGTCAAATTTTGACCGATCTTAACATGCCACTAAGCAAAATCCAGTCACGCACACTGTAATAAATGATAGTTTGTCTCAATGTAGCAAAGCCCAGTTAAGGAAAATATGGAGGAGAAACTAATTTTGCAGTGACACCAAACCCAGCATTATAGCTGAGGCCAAGGGAAGCATTCAGGCTGAAACAATTGTGCAATTTTGATTTAAATCACACTTACAAATAAATAATATAGAATTGACTGTGCACTGCCACAACTTGGTTTGAGGGAGGCATATGCATTTTTTAATGTACATTCAGCAATGCCAAATGAAACTGCGCAAGATTAAGAAAGAGGAAGCCATTGCAAATTATAGTGAATATTTAAGATATTTCCCACCATGTATTGAGCTTAAGTCACCCGTGGGTGTGTTCTTCAAATTAATGGCAGAAATTTGCTCTGTTATGTGGCTCGTGCATCATCAAGCTCCTCCAAGGAAGGGTGGAGAAAATTGGAGCAATTCAAACTATTAAGGGGAAAAAACTAACAAGCCTCATGTTGCCTTGCTGAAGTTGATTGTCACTTCCTGAATGCACAAGCCTATCTCATTGTACACATGTTGTACTCTGACAATAAAGGTAATAATAATAAAGATAGTACAGGTCATCTGTCAGCCTTGGAAGCCGTATTTTACATTAGAAGCTTTCAGGCTGCCACATTTTAGTACCTGGAAATTTGGGTGGGGGGATTTGATACAGAGGTGGAAGATGAGACTCAACAACATTCTTCTCAGAAAGTCAAGGACAAGTCACCCTGCACCTGGAGAGGAGTGTCTGGAGGAATCTCTCCAGTTGGGGCGATGGTTGATTGGGCCATGGGATGGACTGGTGGGAGCAGGGGATGATGGGTTTTTGAAATTCAGCTAGGAAGGGAAAACCCGCAACTCTCAGATTCGGGTTTTCCCAGATGTGCCAATATGACTTCTTTAATAAATTCTTACTTGGATGAACTTTGCTTCTGAGTGCTGAATGAAATTGGGAGTTTCATTGGAACACTGACATAGTCCTCATTTAGGAACCACAATTTGGGACTGGCAACTTGGTTGTTAAGTGAACAAGTTGTTAAGTGAAGCCATGACTGTACTTAGATTCTTACTTCAGCTTTTTTTTTAGTTTATGGACCTGTAGTGGTGTTCAATGCAAAGGCTAGTTGCAAAGTTACTTTTTCATCACTGCCATAACTTCAAAAGATCCCTATATAAAATGGTCGTTAAATGAAGAATGGCCTGTATACAGCTGCGTCATGGGAAAATCAGCTGGTTGAAGCTTTCCTAAGACAGGAGAATTAGCTACAAGGCAAATAATAGCAAATAAAATTTCTACAACTTGGTTATGAGAGCCACATTTTCTTGTTCTTTTAACTTTACCTTTGGAAACTTTCCAATGACTCCTTGGCACTATTCTATCACCTTGATTGCTGTATCTGGTCTTCTGGCTACTCTCCTGCACGGCTTGGATCATCTCTCATAGTTTGCAGGCTTAACCTGCAGCAGTGATGCCGCAGTAATTCCCCCCACACACACACACACTTCAAGCTTCAATCGAGCACACATTCCTGATTCTGACTTTAGGTTCCTTCTTTGGCATGGGCCCTGATTCTGACCTTCTCTGATTCTCTGCACATTTTGGCTTTTAGACCTTCCCATGGAAACATGCAGCAACAAAGGATATTAATAGCTGACAGCAAAACGTCTCCACGAGTAAGAAAATCTGGGGAAAGATGCGAGAGACGATCCACAGAGCCTCTAGGAAACAATTTTGTGTTGGATGACAAGATATTGCAGCCAGTTAAATTTACGAATTGCATTTACAAAAAAAGCACGAAGATTGTTTCCAGATCTTTTGACAAAAACAATAGTTTTGCTCCAGAAAGAGAAACTGTATGCAAACACACACTATAGATCTTACACAATGGGAAAAAGTAACCCAAACCAATTACATTGATAAAATGCAAAGAAGGAAACACTAGAAGATGGTACATTTGCATCAGGATTCCTGCTTTAGGCATATGGGGTTGGACTAGAATATCTCCAAGCTCTCTTCCAACCTATGTATCTATGTACAGTCATCAAATTTAAGTCTACGTAAGTTTCTAAGTTTGAATCAATCTATTTAAATCAATCGATTTCAAATCTCCCTCAAATTTAAAATTGATACTTCGCTACTAATTAAACGTTTGAAGAGCTGTACTTTCCCCATACCTTTACATTTCACTTCTGAGCATTTAATCTCACCGTCAGGGAGGAAAATAAATATTCTGGGTTCTGATCCTCCCCGTTTCTCTCCTTCCTTTAGTTTAACAAAAGAAGGCAAGTTGCCAGAACTTTAAAGCTGTTTGATCTGGGAAAGCAAGAACAGTCAAACAGAATTAGAGATCAGACTTACAGTATTGCTGCAGGTTTTATATCGGATATTTCTGCCTTGACAGTTTCTGAAAGACAAGAAAAATAAGGCTTGAGTGAAGTTATTATGAAGAAATCTCATTGAAAGACAAGGCTGTAAAATTATTATATTTGATGCACCACCACCACCACATCCACACACACAGAGTGTGCAAGTTTAATTGTGTTTAGAGGATGATGGGTTAACATACCAGCCTCATGAAGGAAGTTAATTTTTTCCCTAAAGATTTTAAAGTGGTGGAACATCTCAACCTTTTAAGTGAATTCTGGAACACCATGCACAAGATTGTATAGGGCTCACTAGCAGAAGCCTGCTAGACAATACAGAGAATTATTTATGAGCAAATATTCAACTTATATAATTCAGAGGCCAAGCTCTCCAACAGCAAGATAGGAAGCCCAAAAGGGCAATGGATTGGAAACCTGTGAACAAGAAAGAAAAAGAGCCGGAAGAAAGGGTCAAAGCATCTACATCTCTACCAGTGAATGTACTACTGAATGCAACAAAGATGATTAGGGGGCTGGAGGCTAAAATAAATAATGGTTACTGGAATTGGGCATGTCTAGTTTAATAAAAAGAACTAAGGGGTGACATGATAGCAGTGTTCCAATATCTAAGAGGTTGGCACAATGAAGAAGGAGTCAATTTATTCTCCAGAGCATCTGAAGGCAGAACAAGAAGAAATGGGTGGAATCTAATCAAGGAGAGAAGCAACCTAGAACTAAGGGGAAATTTCCTGACAGTTAGAACAATAAACAGTGGAACAACTTGCCTCCAGATGTTGTGGATAGTCCAACACTGGAAGTTTTTAAGAAGAGATTGGACAACCATTATCTGAAATGGGTTTCCTGCCTGAGCAGGGAAGAAGGCTCCAAGGTCTCTTCCAACTCTATTATTCTGTTAATTTGCTATACAAAGGATTTGCATGCTTCTTCCAAAGCTGCTATGCTTGCTTGTTGCTTGTCTCTGAAACTTTGGCAAACCGCACACCGACCTATCGAGCTATTTCACCCAAGGACCATTTCTTTCCCATCTCTTTTCTTAACACTATGGATCTTCAGTAGGCGTACTATGCATCACTGGTTTTCCTTTCAGCTCTGCATCCTGCTTTTTACAGAATTCCTCCCTTTTTTTGGAAGGTCCCTTCCAACTCTGTTTTTCTCTCATTCTGTGACATCTTCTGAAAACCCAAAGACCCACCTACTTAGAGGTAGATTTCCACATTATTTATTTATTTATCTATTTGTTTGTTTGTTTGTTTGTTTGATTGATTGATTTTTCAATCGCTTACAAGATAATAAGTATAAGGATAAACATAGTTATGAATACATGAAATGAATACATCTTAGAAAAATAAAAGAAACAATAGGACAGGGACGGTAGGCAGGTTGGTGCGCTTATGCACGCCCCCTATTAAGCCCTAGGTATCCTACTTCGATGTTTTAAAAGCTCTTATTTGCTTGTATTTAAATTGTTCCCTTGTGGAATACATTTAATGCAAGCAGCCCAAATTTCTAGTGCTGAGTGACTCCTGTATCCAGCTTTATGACCTGCAATTAGAATAACCAACCTGCCATTTAAACATCTCCGCAATGAATAGGAGGCACCTCCTCCACAGGTCCGTGAGCAATCACTCCACGCTCCCCAGGCATCCCAGCCACTTTCTTTATCTTCATTTGGCTGGGTGATTCTTGAAGTCTGGAAGCACAAGAGAAAGAGAAGCAATTCAGGAATCCAAAAAACCTGTATATTTCGAACATTCTATCAGCTGGCTTTTCATGGCAGGGAGATCAACTTCCACAAGTAGGATGCCTAAATAGGATCTTGCAAGACAGAGAAGGAGATGAATACCTCTTTTCCAAGGATACGACTTTTTCTTGTTGAATCTAGCAAATGTTCCTTGAAGTCTCATGTTGGAAGAGAATGCCCACAGCAACTTACATAAAATAAATAACCAGACAGGTGTATAATTTTAAAGGCTATGAAAACTAAATACAAAAGGATGAAGACTGAAGGCTAACTCAGGTATTAGTTCTGATTGCTTTGTCATTCCTAAAATAGCTACCAGAGACGAAGAAGGATTAAGTAATGTCATCATGCCCAAAATTCTGAAATAGCAATAGCACTTAAACATATATACCACTTCATAGTGCTTTGCAGCCCTCTCTAAGCTGTTTTCAGAGTCAGCCTCTTGCCCCCAACAAGCTGAGTCCTCATTTTACCCACCTTGGAAGGAGAGAAGGCTGAGTCAACCTTGAGCCAGTGAGAAATGAACTGGTGGCAGTTGGCAGAATTAGCCTGCAATACTACCTTTTAACCATTAGCATCACCAGGGCTCACTGACCTTCTGAACCTTCAACCTTCTCCAAAGTTCTGGATCCCTCCTACCCTTTGGGGAAAGTGGGAAGCCTCTAGGCATGGGGCAGTTCTCAATGGTCCGAGTTGGTGAAGGAGGGGGAATCTATGATTTGTCTCTGTTTTGTCACACAATGTCATCTTTTGCAAGTCCTCATACAGAAACGCCCAAATTTCATGAATTATTCAAATTATTTCATAAGATTTAATGAAGCTTGCAAACTGGATGGCCATATAAATCAGTCAATCTATCTATCTATCTATCTATCTATCTATCTATCTATCTATCTATC